TCATAACATCTTGGTTCTCTGGGATGGGTGCGTCACCTAGCGGTGCTTCTAGGACATAATCTTTCTTGGCAGCTATGAGGATGATCCTCAGGTTCCGGACCCAGTCCGTATAGTTGCTGCCATCATCTTTCAGCTTGGTTTTCTCTAGGAACGCGTTGAAGTTGAGGGCAACATTAGCGTGGGACATTTGATCTACAAGACATAGTGTAAAGATTTTAGACTAAGTTCATGATAATTAAGTTCATCTAATCAAATTATTCAATGAACTCCCACTCAGATAGACATCCCTCTAGTCATCTAAGTGAAACATGATCCGAGTCAACTAGGCCGTGTCTGATCATCATGTGAGACGGACTAGTCAACATCGGTGAACATCTTCATGTTGATCGTATCTTCTATACGACTCATGCTCGACCTTTCGGTCTTCCGTGTTCCGAGGCCATGTCTGTACATGCTAGGCTCGTCAAGTCAACCTAAGTGTATTGCGTGTGTAAATCTGGCTTACACCCGTTGTATTCGAACGTTAGAATCTATCACACCCGATCATCACGTGGTGCTTCGAAACAACGAACCTTCGCAACGGTGCACAGTTAGGGGGGACACTTTCTTGAAATTATTACGAGGGATCATCTTATTTAAGCTACCGTCGTTCTAAGAAAATAAGTTGTAAAACATGATAAACATCACATGCAATCAAATAGTGACATGATATGGCCAATATCATTTGCTCCTTTTGATCTCCATCTTCGGGGCTTCATGATCATCGTTGTCACCGGCATGACACCATGATCTCCATCATCATGATCTCCATCATCGTGTCTTCTTGAAGTTGTCTCGTCATCTATTACTTCTACTACTATGGCTAACGCTTTAGCAATAAAGTAAAGTAATTACATGACGTTTATGTTGACACGCAGGTCATAAATAAATAAAGACAACTCCTATGGCTCCTGCCGGTTGTCATATTCATCGACATGCAAGTCGTGATTCCTATTACAAGAACATGATCAATCCCATACATCACATATATCATTCATCACATCCTTTTGGCCATATCACATCACACGGCACATGCTACAAAAATAAGTTAGACGTCCTCTAATTGTTGTTGCAAGTTTTTACGTGGTTGCTATAGGTTTCTAGCAAGAACGTTTCTTACCTACGCCAAAACCACAACGTGATATGCCAATTTCTATTTACCCTTCATAAGGACCCTTTTCATCGAATCCGATCCGACTAAAGTGGGAGAGACAGACACCCGCTAGCCACCTTATGCAACTAGTGCATTTCAGTCAGTGGAACCAGTCTCACGTAAGCGTACGTGTAAGGTCGGTCCGGGCCGCTTCATCCCACGATGCCGCCGAATCAATATAAGACTAGTAACAGTAAGCAAATTGACAATATCCACGCCCACAACTGCTTTGTGTTCTACTCGTGCATAGAAACTACGCATAGACCTAGCTCATGATGCCACCGTTGGGGAACGTAGCAGAATTTTAAAATTTTTTACGCATCACCAAGATAAATCTATGGAGTCATCTAGCAATGAGGGAGAGGGGAGTGCATCTACATACCCTTGTAGATCGCGCGCGGAAGCGTTCAAGAGAACGGGGTTGATGGAGTCGTACTCGTCGTGATCCAAATCACTGATGACCTAGCGCCGAACGGACGGCACCTCCGTGTTCAACACACGTACGGTTGGGAAGACGTCTCCTCCAACTTGATCCAGCAAGGGGGAAGGAGAGGTTGATGAAGATCCAGCAGCACGACGGCGTGGTGGTGGAAGCAACGATGATCTCAGCAGGGCTTCGCCAAGCTCAGGGAGAGGGAGGAGTGTCACGGGAGGGAGAGGGAGGCGCCAGGGGCTAGGGTGCGGCTGCCCTCCCTCCCCCCCACTATATATAGGACCCCTAGGGAGGGCGCCGACCCTAGGAGATGCAATCTCCAAGGAGAAGGGGGCGGCGGCCAAGGGAGTGCCCCCCAAGCCAAGTGGGGCGCCCCCACCCCTAGGGTTTCCAACCCTAGGCGCAGGGGAGGCCCATGGGGGGGGGGGCGCACCAGCCCACTAGGAGCTGGTTCCCCTCCCACTTCAGCCCATGGGGCCCTCCGGGATAGGTGGCCCCACCCGGTGGACCCCCAGGACCCTTCCGGTGGTCCCGGTACAATACCGATTACCCCCGAAACTTTCCCGATGGCCGAAAATTAACTTCCTATATATAAATCTTCACCTCCGGACCATTCCGAAACTCCTCGTGATGTTCGGGATCTCATCCGGGACTCCGAACAACTTTCGGGGTACCATATAATAATATCTCAACAACCCTAGCGTCACCGAACCTTAAGTGTGTAGACCCTACGGGTTCGGGAGACACGCAGACATGACCGAGACGACTCTCCGGTCAATAACCAACAGCGGGATCTGGATACCCATGTTGGCTCCCACATGCTCCTCGAGGATCTCATCGGATGAACCACGATGTCGAGGATTCAATCAATCCCGTATACAATTCCCTTTATCAATCGGTACGTTACTTGCCCGAGACTCGATCGTCGGTATCCCAATACCTCGTTCAATCTCGTTACCGGCAAGTCACTTTACTCGTACCGTAATGCATGATCCTGTGATCAACCACTTGGTCACATTGAGCTCATTATGATGATGCATTACCGAGTGGACCCAGAGATACCTCTCCATCATACGGAGTGACAAATCCCAGTCTTGATTCGTGCCAACCCAACAGACACTTTCGGAGATACCCGTAGTGCACCTTTATAGTCACCCAGTTACGTTGTGACGTTTGGTACACCCAAAGCACTCCTACGGTATCCGGGAGTTGCACAATCTCATGGTCTAAGGAAATGATACTTGACATTCGGAAAAGCTATAGCAAACGAACTACACGATCTTCAAGCTATGCTTAGGATTGGGTCTTGTCCATCACATCATTCTCCTAATGATGTGATCCCGTTATCAATGACATCCAATGTCCATAGTCAGGAAACCATGACTATCTTTTGATCAACGAGCTAGTCAACTAGAGGCTCACTAGGGACGTGTTGTGGTCTATGTATTCACACATGTATTACGATTTCCGGATAACACAATTATAGCATGAACAATATACAATTATCATGAACAAAGAAATATAATAATAACCATTTTATTATTGCCTCCAGGGCATATTTCCAACATAACCATCTGAGCTTAACGCTCAGTTTGCATTCAATGCATTATTATTGGGTAAATTTTGAGAATAATATACCACGCAAAATGACATGCAGTTAGAGCATCTATAGCCGAGCACCCCAAACCGGCCTCAAATGCCCAGGTGGCCCGCCCGGTCGCTGACTGGTCACGGAAAATTAATCCAGATGGGCGCCTCGAACGGGTCTCAAACGCCCGGGCTGACTGGCACCCCACATATCCATCCCAAATATGGGGCGGATATGGGGGCGCTAGGGCGCGCCCGCCACATAGGACTGACGATGGGGTCCCACGCGGAAACGCCCGAAAACTCAGTGTCCGACTAACGCCTCCTCCGTCGTCGTCGTGTGAACGCCGCATGGTGCCACTTCGGCTCGCCGCACGAGGCCAAATCCGGCTAATTAACCGACCGTCGTCCCCCAACCCTAGCCCATCCACCTCCTCCCTCTCTACGCCGCCACTTAAGCCCGTCCGCCTCCTCTCCCTGCTCTCCCACGCTCTCCGACGTTGCCATGGTCCGATGCAAGATCATGACGTACACTATGCTGACACTAGAGCGCCGGTGGCAGATCGCGGAGGAGATCCAGGCGAGGTGCGCCGCCCGCATTGCTGTTGGTCTGCCTTTGAACTCGCGGGAGCAGGAGGAGGAGGAGGAGCAGGAGCCGAAGGACAAGGAGGAAGAGCAGCTACCGGAGCCGATGAAGGTGGCAGATCCGGAGGAGGAAGTGACGGATCCAGAGGAGGAGGAGGCGGAGCAGCCTGCTCGAGGGTTCACCATGCACGAGGCGGAGGTGGAGTTCGCCGTCGCCCAAGCCGTGGAGATGGCGAAGCATCAGGCCATCCTGGAGTCCATCCAGGATGAGGCATATGTGGAGGCCAATCAACAGTTCCTTTGGCAGGAGCAGGCAGCGTCCGACGCGCTCTTCGCCAAACTTGACGCGAAGATATAGGAGGAGGCCGAGCGGAGCCGGACACGAAGATTGCCGCCCATGTACCCGGAGTCGGGCACGAAGATTGCCACATCTCTGGCGAGGAGTAGCTACGTAGTACGTAGGTTTTTAAATTTGCATGCTTTTGTATTAATTTGAGAATTTAGTATGAGATGTCTGGATGTAGTTGTGTTAATTTGAGGAGTGCCCGGTCATTACGTGCGGAAACGCCTAAGCGCGTCGATTTGTCATATGCAGCTGTAGATGATCTTATGTATTTCCATTTAATACGGTGCAAAGACATGACCAAATATAAATATGGGCATACGAATTCGAAATAGAATAGAACAATTTCCAAATCCTAGTTGTTTTAGAAATACTAAAACAAAAACGTCCCTCAAAAAGGAAAAGAAAAAACGTTCAGTTCTGTCTGTATCGGCCAGACCTCTCCTCTCGGGTATCGGCGCCGTCTCGACCTTTCGCACCGCCTAATTCCCAAACCCGGCGCCGCCGTGTCACCCCTTCCCCTACGCCCACGGTCGCGCCTCCAGGCCTCGTCCTAAAGCGCGCCAGGCCGAATTCTTCTCCCCCTCCCACCCCCCTCTGCCCGATTGGCCTGGCGTGGAGATACACCCCCGCGGATTTTCTCTTCTTGGTAACGAAGACCTAACTTGCTTTGGACATTCTATTTTTTTCCTAACGTTCTCTTTTGATGCGAGCAACCGAATCTTAACACGGGGTTATGAAATTGATGTGTTGAATTATAGGACTATTGTGGAACTGCTCTAGAAAGTTTCTGGTGATGGTGGTCCGTTTATGTTTCATGTGTTGTTGATTATCGCTGTCGCGCTTGCAGGCCCTGAGACATGTCTCATTATCAGGAGCACAATGTTGAGGACATGGAGGATGATTGCGACATGGATAATCCGGTAGATGACATGGATGGTGAAGATTACCTAGGGCCGGAGGCTAGGGACGACTCTGATGAGGAGGATGACGAGGATGCCGAAGCGGTGTGTATCTGTCTGTCGATTTTTGTTAATTTGATTGTGTAGGCTTTTCAGTATTCTTTAGCTAATTTACTCCGGTTGTTGACTTGTGCCGTCGTATTAAGCAATGAAGGGATAACTAGGCAGTTGAAATTGTTGACTTGCTGCTATGTTAAGTTTGGAATTAGTGTGACACCACACTTTCAAAGGATAGCTACATGCCTACACAACCTTGAAGCCTCATTTTGCATTCAGTTGCCCTATACATTTTCCATGGTCCCCTTCCTGTATAACTTGGGTGTTTCTTAAACTGCGTTTTCCTATCTTTTCTCTCTTTGCTTGCTGAACTTTCATAAAATTTGTTATGGTACATATCAGTGCATTCCAATGAGTTAGGAAAAACAATCCAATAGTTTTTACCTTTTAAGTTCTTATTTATCTTTTGAGCCACCAGAGCTAAGATACATATGATTCAGTTTGTATCTGGAAGACTAAATGAAACTTTGTTTGACTATTCCCATTGCTTGTATAGTCACTGGAATGCTCTAAAAGAAATAATTGTTGCTTTAGAATAAGGCATCCGACACATCATCTGAAGAAGCAAGACGTGGAAAAGACATTCAAGGAATACCATGGGATCGCCTGGAACTTACCAGAGAAGGATACAGGGAGACAAGATTATTACAGTACAAAAATTACGAGAATGTACCTAATTCTGCAGAAACAGCAATGAAGGTATGCCTTTCAAATAAGTTAATTTGTGTGGGAGAAAATATTCTGACGTTGTGATTGGCACTTCTGTAAAACAGGCATGCAAATCTACTGAGAAAGACGGAACATATTATGAGTTCAGGCGAAATACTAGATCAGTAAAATCTACTATTCTACATTTTCAGGTGAGTTCCTATAAGTCCTTGTTTAGTAAGTACTCCTTCCGTCCCATAATATAAGAGTGTTTTTTTATAAATCCTGCATTTCAATAAAGATGGTTTATTATAAAAGTATTACCAGAGAAATTTTTATTTGAACGTTTAAACTATCAGACACTAGAAACTTTTTCAAAAGATTAAATGGCGCATTTTTTCAATTGCAACGTGTCTGCAGTTTTATCTAAATGTTCATACACGAAATTATGTTGTAACAATGTAACATTTATACCTAACTACTGTATTACACAGGAAGTGCCCAGTCATAAAAAATTCGATCTATATTTGCCCCTGTAATTATTTATTTACCATTTAGATGGCAGTGGAGAGGCTATCGAGAAACTTTTTAAATCGTAACCAACTTGCTCTCTACTTCTCTTCAGTTCACTATTATCACTTGTGATGTATGTGCAATGTTTGTGTCTACCAATTTAGCTCATAACACTACATTTGTGTTTGTACAATACCTATTTCTGTTAGTAGTTAGCTAGAACAGGTCAATTCTGTAGTTCTTCAGGGGCTTACCATCTGATGGGAAGGGGGAACAGTCCTACCTGCTACCTGTCACTGGCACGGTGGCACCTGATAGCCATCTTTATGACCATGTCTGCCTCTTATTGCAGATAGATGCGTTTATAAAGAATTAATTGAAGGGGTGCCTAGAGTATCTTTGATTATTAATGTATCTTATTGTGCCTATGATTGTATTTTCTATGCCAAGATGAATCGACTGTGTGAAAATAAAGTCCACCGAGAACTCCCATGGAATTTCGGGTTCTATTTGGCTTGGTTCAATCGGTCTATTAACCACCCTGCTTATTATTATTTGAGGATATTATTCACATAATGGTTTAACCTGTTCAAAGACTTGTCTGTTCCATCATTCTGCATGTATTTTTGTTTCAATTGGTTAAAAGAAATGTGGAGGCTGCTTGTTGTCAGTCTTAATTGATGCTCCTTTATTTTTCTTCTGATACATTGATGTTAAATAAGAAATTAATCAAGTTAATCTATGCCTGCAGCTGAGAAATTTAGTATGGGCTACATCTAAGCATGATGCTTACCTAATATCGCATTACTCGGTGCTACACTGGTCAGCCTTGAGTGGTGTGGACACAGAAATTATGAATGTCGAAGGGCATATCGCACCAAGTGAGGTAGTGTCTATAGTTACTAAATTTTCATCCTAGGTTGCAGTTTCATTTCTTGCTCTACCTCTATTAATGATATTTTATTATTTCATTGCAGAAACATCCAGGAAGTTTATTAGAAGGGTTTTCTCAGACTCAAGTTAGTACGCTGGCAGTCAAGGATAATTTGCTAGTAGCTGGTGGTTTCCAAGGAGAGCTAATATGCAAAGTAGGATCACTTTATCACTTTGTTTTTGCACTGACCCTAATTTTTTGGGGGAGTTCTATCTCGCAATTGACTGGGAGAACCCAAACTTGTGGATAGCTGCATCTTGCCACGACAATCATTTTACCCTGCCCATTCCACAGTACCTTACCAGTGACCATCATCTGTGTTTCTCCTGCCTCACCGACCCACCCACCCTACAATTTCCCTACCCCACCGGCCCATCTTTCATGTGGCCAACTGGCCATCGGTAGCACCTTTGTCACCTTAGTGTGTCTGCACCCCTCCCCCTGTTCACTTGCTTCATGACCTCGGCACTGACTTCTCCCTCTTGTGCATAGTTCTCGTGAAGCTGCAGGCACCTGACAGAACCTCCTTGTGCAGTCTGAAGGTCTTCTTGACTGCAATGCCCCTGTTGCTGATCCCATGGCTTGCATTCTGTGGATACGAATTGTCCGCAGGCATTTATCTTTATAGTTCCCTTAAATTTGTCACTATCTGCTACTCCCTCCGCCCCGAATTACTTGTCGCATTCTAGATACATCCATTTCTGCGACAAGTAATTCGGGGCGGAGGGAGTATTTGTTATATATCTGAACCCACTCTCTTAGTATTAGCTTGTAGCATATGATGAGGTTCCATTTTCCCTGAAAAAAAATGATGAGGTTCCATTTTTCTTATGGAAACATGACAAGGTTCCATTGCCTCTCTTGTTTGCTGGTGGGGATGCGTGTGAATGTGCTGTTAGCTATTTTCTCGCCTGGTTGCTAGTGCACCTCCTATTCAGTTAAATTGATGCTGTTCATTTACAAATTCAGTGGGCAAGTAACAACATATTACATTTATTTCGAACTTGAGTATGCTGAATATATTTGTGAGCTCTTGACACTGATAGTTTTCTGATGTTAACCTTGGTCAATGTGATGCAGAACCTGGACCAAGAAGGAATAAGCTTTTGCTGCAGGACAACATATGATGATAATGCAATCACCAATGCAGTGGAGATATTCAACACCTCTAGGTAAATGTTATGCTCGGCTGTTAAAGATTCAATCTTGCTGAACATTCTTAAAAGATTAAGAAACTAGCTGGACTGTAGCCACAAGATTACTCTTCCCTAGAACTTATTTCATCAGAATGTTGGAACGAGCTCATATCAATAGCTGCTGCCAAGAATTCTTTTGAAAGTGAAATTAATATGAATGTTTTTCTCTGGTCCATAATTTCTTCAGTGGCGCTGTTCACTTCATTGCATCTATTAACGACTCCGGTGTAAGAGAATATGATATGGAAAGATACCAGTTATGTAAGCATTTCCGCTTTGATTGGCCAGTGAATGTAAGTTCTGTTATTCACATTTTCATTTACTTTTTTTTGGTATTCCATACTTTATCTAGAGCAATACTTCTATACTATCATTTCTAACAAGCTCCAGCTTTTATTTGTCTTCATGAAATGGTTTCCTAAACCTAACTTGATGTGTATAAACTAAATCTTTTGAACTGAACGATCAAACCTAGAGTCTGCCAACAGTTGAGGCAACCAAAGTGTACTCGAAGAAATCTAATCCAATCAGAACACTCAATTAAAGGAAATGATTAAATATTGATAGTGCTTATAAGTCTTGGTGCTGAATGTGCTCCTTCCATTACTGGCTCTTCTGGCTGACCGCCACCATAAGGCCCATGGTGCTTGACCCTGGAATCCAACTATATGTTTGTCAATTTCAGTGCCAACTGCTAAACCATCACTTTGTTTTTTTTTCACATCTTCTCTTATTATATCTGGACAATATTCTATTAATTTCTTGTCTGTCACTTGTAACATTTAGGATAACTGTTGAATTTACATTTTAGTTTCAATGACTGATCCTTCTATTGGCGCAGCACACGTCTTTGAGCCCTGATGGGAAGCTTGTTCTCGTTGTCGGGGATGACCCAGATGCTTTGCTTATTGATGCTAATTCAGGAAAGGTAAATCAAACATGCACATTTGTTAGGTTTAAAGCATTTTGCGAGTGCCTATCTATGCATTTGAAAATATAAAATTAAATGTTTTGTATCTGGACACAGACTATTCATTCTATGAAAGGTCACTTGGATTTCTCATTTGCATCGGCTTGGAGCCCGATGGCCGGACATTTGCCACTGGCAATCAAGACAGGACATGCCGGGTTTGGGATGCCAGAAATCTCTCGCAGTCTCTCCATGTCTTGAGGGGTAACCTTGGTGCTATAAGATCTATTCGCTACACATCAGATGGTCAGTTCCTGACGATGGCGGAGCCGGCAGACTTTGTCCACATCTTTGATGTCAAAAGTGATTATAACAAGAGGCAAGAGCTGGATTTCTTTGGTGAGATATCTGGCATGTCTTTCAGCCCTGACACGGACACGCTCTTCGTTGGTGTTTGGGACAGGACCTACGGCAGCCTACTTCAGTATGGCCGCCTCTATAACTACTCATACCTTGACTCGCTGTTCTAAGGTCAATGCAAACAAGTGTTGGTGGGGCCTCTTGTGTGTCACTTCTGCCGATTTTCGTCGGCGCCGACTATTAGGTACTCCATAATCAGATTTATGTTATAGATTGGTCATTCTTTAATAATTCCTGTATCCTGTTTTATGTGTACAAAAGAAATGTATACAGATATAGCTTTGCTTTGAGGTAGGAGTTGTAAGTTATGTTTCTAGGGCTAGTTTGCTCCATGAATTTGGATGTAAACTTTTACCTGAGATGTGTACCGTGAACATCTCCTACTGCATTGACCGAAACCGGTATGCTTCGGTGGTATGTGCTATGCCGCAGTTGTGTGGAGCAGTTTGGATTGTATAATTGAGCCGTTATACACCTGTTTGTGAATCCTATGCACCTGAGAAGTTTGTCTCCACTATCTTATTTATCCTAACATTCAACTTATCCACCTCATCAAATGCGCAATGTCAGCAAAACAACTGCATGTTCCCACGTCATTGACTGAGCTCATTTTATTTATGAGAGCACTATTCGAGGTGGGTGATCTTCTCCCCGTTTTCTCCATAGCAGTGCGTCCATTTTTCTTTTTAAACACCTCTCCATATATCAATTAATTTAAAATGTGATTACAATCGTTCATTGCAGGTGGCCAGGTGTCATGCAGGGCGGGAAACTATTAAAAAGAGAACTACCTGATCTATTATCAAAACTAAAACTAAATTTAGCAATCATATGAGCCGCTGAATTGGCCCTTCTATTTATTTTGGACAACTTGAAATTTCTCAGAAGTCTGATAATGCCAAGCGCTTCCTTCTTGAGGTCAATGAGCGGTTATCTGTCAAAACTTTCATTTGCAAGAAAAGAAGGCACAAACACACCACCAGTTAAAAAAAATAGGCATGTTAAGAGAAATACCGACATATAGCCCAGCAAGCCATGCCTGAAGTTCCGCTTCATCCACACCAAAACATATAAGCCAATAAAGTCCCAAGATGAGACAATGAGATCACCACTATAGTTTCTAGCCACCACCCCAACGCTCGCATCACTTAAACTCTCCACAAAACTTGCATCAACATTGATGCTCGCATCACTTAAACTCTCCACAAAACGTGCATCAACATTGATCTTGATATCGTTAGAAGGAGACGGTTGCCACACCTCTTTGGATCTCACCACGGTGTTTCTTGGACCAAAACCCGCCACCACCTCCTTTCCTTTGTTATTGGTGACTACCTCATTAGTATCCTGACATGACATGAAGGAAGACCAGTAGCTTTCCAGAAATATAGCGGAGCCTGTGATAGTTTCTTTTTTTCCCCAGAAATCAAGTCATTCCTCAAGTGTCAAGCTCTCCAGAAAAAAAACAAAATGTGCTCCCTTTGAGAACAGCTTAACTATAGTCTAATAAAATAAGTAACCAGCCTGAGAATAAGCCTCTTCCCCTGACAAATTCCAAATGTCTCTCAATGCCAGCGGAGTGCAGGAGCCTTGGGGCAAGAAACAAGAGCGTGAAAAGTGATCTCATCCTCAACCCCATGGTAGAGCAAGTACAAATGATAGCTTGATGATGTAAAACTCTATTAACCTAAACCATCATGCTATCAGATGCTGCAAGCCATCCAAAAATTCTAATCTTTTATGGGATATTGGCCTTCCAAATGATATCACACAACCTCCTTTCGCCGTCAATAGATTGCCCAATATTTTCTTTCCGATCCTTAAGCTTTAATGCCAGATTGTATGCACTCTTCACTGAAAACAATCAATTCTTTTCAAAATGCCAAGTAGTGAAATAACCATCCTCCGAGGATTGAATCTGCAACTTTAAGATCTCTTCCGCATCATGAGGATAAAAAAGATGTCTAACAATCTTTCTGTCCCAATCCCTAGGATCGCTCTTGAATAACTCTGAAACCCATTTGAGTCGTCCAATTTTCTCACCCTCCTCGACCCTAGTCGACTAGGATCATGTAACCTAGACCACGGTACCCATATAAGACGGGGCTAGACTAGTTAGTTTGTTCTTCATGTCAAGTATCTATTCCTAAGACCATGCAAAGAGAGCCTTGGCTCAGTGGTTGGGCATGCGGTTTTGCAGCCTAACGACCCGAGTTCAATTCCTAGAATTGACAGGTGATGCACAGGGTTTTCCCCCCATTTATTGAGGATCAAGTTTGATGTGTGATGGAACCATTCATCAAAAAATATATTGATACTCATTTTATAAAAATTATGAGGACCATGTTTATCTTGGTACTCCTACTAAAATGACCGTATGCATCCCTAGTTGGTGCAGAGGCCGGGGAAGTGAAATTCTCCCCCAATAGAGAAATGGAAATTGTCTTCTGTAAAATCAATCAGATGACCTTTTAGGATGTGGAGAGAGATGAGGGACGGGGCAATGCGGGCGACGCCACAGGCGACGCCGAGGGAGACTTCTCCCACCGGTGATCGGCGGGTAGGAGGCCGATTCTAGGCGTTATGCGACGACCCGGCGATGCGGAAGACGAGGATGGGGACTCCGGCGGCGAGGAGTCTCCGACGAGTTCACCGACGCCATCCGATGCGATTTGCGAGGCATTCCATGTTGGTTACTCTGAGAAGGATGTGGCGAGGCTCGTCGACTTGGCGATCCCCCTCGATGATCCGGCCCGACAGGGACTTGACGACGACGCCGTTGAGGTTGTTCGGCGGGTTGTTCATCGTCGTACGTCGGCGTGGGCGATCCGGCCATGGCGAGGACCTCTTCCAAAGGTATGTCTTCATAAACCTACTTTTTCTGATTACTTCGAGGCCAGGGCGTGGAAATTAGTCCAAAGAAAGAAGAAAATGAAGTCGTCGTCGGCGGCGGCGGCGACCGGCGGATCGGCTGAGATCCGAGCCACTAGGATCCAGCATTTGAATTTTCTTTTAGGCCTGGGTGGGCTCGAACAGAGTGGTGTGGATCTGGGCTGGATTGAGGATGGGTATGAGGCCCAGTACCTGGCGAATCAGAGTGGGCTGGGGTTAGCTGGGTATGATGCTCAGGCTAACCCGGACTCCACGTCTGCCGACGCCATAGGCCCTTGCATGCGATCGAGTGATCGTAGATCATTTTGCCCCGAGCTGCTGCCGTCGCTGCGCCCTAGGGTTCGTCGCCGCGGGGGAACCTCGGGGTTTGCCAAGTGTGGTCCGGGTCGGGCTACTCGTATCCCTCCTCTCGTGATGGCGGGACGGGGTGGTTCGGCCACGACCGGTCTGAAGATTCCGGTGGGCGCCGGGGCGGCGCCGGCCGACCGAGGTGGTGGAGTTCCACAGGGTCAGAGGCCTGTGCTGCCGGCGGGACGTGGCGCGCCGCTGGGGCCGAGGCCCGCGCTGGCTGCTGGGTGCGGCACTCCGCCAGGGCCGTGACCCGCGCTGGCTGCGGGGGCGGTGCCGGCTGCTGGGCGTGGCGGTCAGGTCCTTAGGCCACCAGCGCCGGCTGTTCTGATGCCGTCTACTGCTGCTGTGGGGCGCGATACTACCCAGCAAAGACCGTCGATGCCTAGTGCGGCCGTGGTCGTACCTCTGGGTCAGCAGCCGCAAGTTGCGCCTCCGCCACATTACGTCGCTAGGCCGCCTCAGAAGCGTGTTGTGCCAGCGCAGGTTCCGCCAGCGCATCCTGTGGCAGGTGAGGGAAGTGCGGATGCAGCTCGTGCGCTGGCTAATCGCAGCTGTAAAGGTCCACCCTGAGGAAAGTGGGGTGATGATGGATTCAATGCTTATGGGGACGGACAACATCGTGGCTCATCGTCTGCAGGTGGCGGGCGTGGCTACGCATGGCAGAGTGATGGGTCAGCTGAACGACCTTTCTACGGCCCTCTGGGAGGTTTTGTCGAGGGGGCGTCTGTCCCTGATTATAGGCAGCGAGGTGGATACCGAGGTCATCATGGTGGTCACGATGGTCGTGGTGGTAGGAACCGTTACCGCCAGCCTCCATCGCCTGTTGTGGTGGAACCGACGGCATCCTCGGAGGTCGATGCTTCCGGTCATGCGCCGGAGCTATCCAGGCAGGCTATGGAAGTGGTGACTGCACTGGCTTCCACTGACGTGCCGCTGGCGGAGCCCTTTGTGACAGGGGCTATCGGGGCTGCTGACAAATCTGACGTGGATAGAGCTTCCAAGTGGGCGCGGAAAAAGGAGAAAATGTTGTGCTATCGTTGTGGAGAGAGAGGTCACTTTATTGCTGAGTGTGTGCCCGAGCTTTGTGATACCTGCCTCAAGCCTGCGCATGACACGGGGGAGTGCCCTATTCTGTGGGATCAGATGTCGAGTATCACCATCTATGGAGTCTATTGTGCTGAGCTGATGTTTTTTGAGTGTCCTAGTGCGAGGGAGATACCTGACGAACCCCAGAGCACAACTACAGGGATTGTCAAAGTCACTAAGAGTGATGTGTCTGAGGACGCAAATTATGCACAGGCTCACTGAGTTAGTTCCAGGTAACTTTGAGTGGGAGCTCACTCATCTCGAGGCTAACTCTTATAAGGTTAACTTTCCTACATCGAAGGACTTGGAGCCTATGCTGAGTTTTGGGTTATGCAGAGTACCTGGTACTGAGTGCATCCTCGAGTTCCATGAGTGGAAGCGAGTTGAGCCGCAGGGCAAGCCCCTCACCCAGGTTTGGTTGCGATTCTCAGGGGCTCCTTACAAGACTCTTCAGGATGCTCGGGTTGTTGCTAGCTTGGGGATTCTGGTCGGGCAAACCGAGAAGGTAGATA